TCCTGCTCCAAAAGGGTCAAAAGTGCAACTCACTGCCAAAGATGGGTTGGTGCTAACTTCTCCAAATGGTGACAGGTTATGGAATACCGAGGGACTCAACCGTGCGGTTTCTAGGAGTGTGTTCAATGACACTGGCAATTTTTTGCTCGAGGATGGCGATTTCAACCAACTTTGGGAAACTTTCAAGGTTCCTAGTGACACCATGTTGCCTTCTCAGGTAATTGAAAAAGGTGGAAAGCTTTCTTCAAGACTTAGGGAGACAAATTTCAGTAAAGGAAGGTTTGAGCTCCTTTTACAAAGTGATGGTAATCTTGCTATGCATTCTATTAATTTACCATCTGGTTATGTTAATGAAAACTATTATGAAAGTCAAACCGATGGATCCGGTACATCAAGTGCTGGAACTCAATTGGTCTTTGACAGATTAGGGTACTTGTATGTCTTAGGAAAAAACAATGAGAAATACAATGTGTCAGGAGAAGAGAGTAAAGTCTCTACCACAGATTTTTATCTTAGAGTTACTCTTAATTTTGACGGAGTCTTCACTCTTTACAAGCATCCAAAGAATTCAACTGAGAGTGAAGGTTGGACCATAGTATGGTCTAAGCCCGATAATATATGTAGTCATACTGTCAGTTCTGGTAGTGGTGTTTGTGGATATAATAGCTTCTGTACTTTGGGAAATGATAAGAGCCCAACATGCCAGTGTCCAAAAAGTTACTCACTGGTTGATCCCGATGATCCATATGGTAGCTGCAAGCCAGATTTTATACAAGGATGTGAAGAAGATGAACTAAGTAAAAGAAAGGATCTCTATGACTTTGAGGTTTTGATTGATACTGATTGGCCTTTATCAGATTCTGTCCTTCAAAGGCCTTTTACTGAAGAACAGTGTAGGGAATCTTGTATGGATGATTGTATGTGTTCTGTGGCTATTTTCAGGTTAGGTGATAGTTGCTGGAAGAAGAAGTTACCACTCTCAAATGGGCAATATGATCCAACACTTAATGGTGCTAAGGCTTTATTGAAAGTGAGAAAAGATAATACCTCCCTCCAGTCCCTTGATTTTCCTCCAATTCCAACCAATCTGAACAAGATTAATAATAGAGAAGCTTTGGTTGTGGTTGTTTCTGTGCTTTTTGGTAGCTCTGCAATTCTCAATGCTGTGTTGATTGTAGCAATATGTGCCAGCACCTCCATGATTCTTCAGTACAAGAAGAAGCTTAGAAGAGTTAGCAGAAGTGACACTCATGTTGAAACCAATTTACGTTGCTTCACTTACGAAGAGCTTGAAGAAGCTACCAATGGATTTGACAAAGAACTAGGAAGGGGAGCTTTTGGTATTGTTTATGAAGGAGTAGTCAACAACAACACATGTTCCGAAACTCGCGTGGCTGTGAAAAAGTTGAACAATTTTTTGTTGGATCAAGCTCATAGAGAATTCAGGAATGAACTGAATGTGATTGGTCTCACTCATCACAAGAACTTGGTTCGTTTACTTGGATTTTGTGAGGGTGGATCTGAGAGATTGCTTGTTTATGAGTACATGAGCAATGGCACTTTGTCAAGCTTACTTTTCAATGCTGATGAGAAACAGAAACCAAGTTGGAAATTAAGGCTAGAACTTGCAATAGGAATAGCAAGAGGACTTGTGTATTTACATGAAGAATGCATTACTAGGATCATCCATTGCGACATAAAGCCTCAAAATATACTTCTTGATGATTACTTCAATGCAAGAATTTCTGACTTTGGACTAGCCAAGTTGTTGAACATGAATCAAAGCAAAACCAACACTGGCATTAGGGGAACAAAAGGGTATGTTGCACTTGAATGGTTTAAGAACATGCCTATCACAGCTCAAGTGGATGTGTATAGTTATGGTGTAGTGTTACTTGAGATAATTTCATGTAGAAGATGTGTTCAAGAAATGGATGATGAAAATGAAGAGAAAGCAATATTAACTGACTGGGCTTATGATTGCTACAAGGATGGTGCTGTAGATGCATTGGTTGAGGGTGACAATGAGGCATTGGATGACAGAGAAAAATTGGAGAAACTGGTAATGATTGCTCTTTGGTGTGTTCAAGAGGATCCATATCTTAGACCAACCATGAGAAATGTGGTACATATGCTTGAAGGTACTGTTGAAGTGCAAGTTCCACCATACCCTTCACAAATTAGTATTCAATATTCTATAAGTTAGTAACTTGTGGTAATCCTTATTGTGTTGTTTTAAGTATATTGTAATATTTGCATTTATGATTGTGTACCAAGCTGTGGTTTTATGTACACCTTCAAGACTAGTTGTGGCAACTTAAATTTCCATATTAAGGTAGGGTGCAATATACAATAAATTTTTTTTTGTTTATTGTAGTATAATTGTAACTTCTTATTTTGTAATTTAACTAGTGTAATAAAATGTAATTGGATTAAGACCCGCAAGATTTGCGGTTATAAATTAGTTTATTTATTTTCTATTGTATTTTAAATATTTAAGAATTTGTTTTTGCCAAAAAATAATTAATAAATTTATATTACAATAATTTATTATGAATTATAATTGAGACAAAGATATGAATTAATCACATATAAAATTAATTTAATTTGTTTTTTTAAATAATTATTTTAATTTTTAATAATAAAATTGTAAAAATCTATCTGATTTTCTCGTTAATATTTGTTTAAATATGAGTGTTCTTCCTTTGGACATTATTTCCTTTGATTTTATTATACTTCAGTTAGTTATTATTATGAAGAAAAAAAACTATAATTTACTTTAAGAATACTCTATATCCTCTTATTTAAGAATTCAAAAAAATTTGTTGTTTTTCTTTAGTTTATTTGTCGGTATGATGTGTGTTGGGGTTGATTAAAAATATATATATTGAAGAAGTTGTATATCGCTTAGTTTTATGAATGAAGAGAGAGTTTAAGGCTATATAAAGGATACAAGTTCTTTAAAATCTCGCATGACTTAGTTTTGTGAAGGAAGGAGGAGTTCAAGGCTATAATATATAGGATTCAAATTCTTCATTCCAATATCTATCCGTCAAAAGCACTTTAAATTTGTATTTGACATTTTATATTTTCTCTTATACTCTTGTTTTAGAGTGTTGTGAAGGGTAGTTAAATATTTGCTTTGGAGAGTGGGATGTATTGGGATCTTGAGGTGGTTGATGGTAGACACCTTAGTTTGAGACTTCAGGTGGATGAGATATTTCTTTGTGCATAAGGAACTTGTGGTAAAGGATTTTCTCTCAGTCATTTGTGGATTTCCTTTCTCCTTGGACAATGATAAGTGAGTTTAGAAGCTTTCGAATGATGGGTTTTCGCGGTGTCCTTTGCCTATCAATTTCTTTTGTGGATTTCCTTTCTCCTTGGACAATGATAAGTGAGTTTAGAAGCTTTCGAAGGATGGGTTTTCACGGTGTCCTCTGCCTATCAATTTCTTTTGTCTTCTTCTAACCACCTGCCCTCAAATTGTAATAAGGTCATTTCCCACATTTGGGATAGTTGATCTCCATCTAAGGTGATAGTGTTTTTTTTTACAACTTATTCTTGATAGGTTCTCTCCAGAGAGAATTTATTCAAGTGAAAGGTGGTTGTCGATCCTAGTCTTACTTTTTGTCCCTTTTGTGGTGTTTACTTTGAGATATCGTCACACTTATTTGTGACTTGTGTCATGGTTAGTACAGTTTGGTATAGAATTTTCATATGGTTGAGTTGAAAGATAGTTTTTCCTAGGGACCCTAATAGTCTTTTTAAAAGTTAGAATTTTCATATGGTTGAGTTGAAAGATAGTTTTTCTTAGGGACCCTAATAGTCTTTTTAAAAGTTAGAATTTTCATATGGTTGAGTTGAAAGATAGTTTTTCCTAGGGACCCTAATAGTCTTTTTAAAAGTTTTATTTCTTTAGATGGTATAGTGAAGTCTAGAAGAGGGGGATCTTTCTATGATTTGGCATGCAGTTGTTTGGTCTATTTAGAGGGTTAGAAATAAGTTAGTGTTTTTTTAGGTCTTCAACAAACGAGAAAGATGTGGAGGAGAAAAGTTTTTTTTTGAGTTTGAAACTGATTTTACAAAAGATCAACTGAGAACTCTTGAACCTTCACATAATGGCTTCAGAATTGTATCCTTTGAATTAACTAATAGAGGATTGAGATGTATGGCCAAATTGCGAGTGTGGGTGTTCCTTTCTTCTCTTTTTTTTTTGGTAGGCTTTAATCCGTTAGTGATAATCCTATTAGCTTGAGATCTAGCTTGTTCTTCTCTATGGTGTAGTTTTGAGGGTTGTTTTTCCTAGAGTTTAGATCGTGATGATTTTTATTGCTTTTTGTCCATCTATGTCTTTACTTTGCTTAGCTTGCTTTTACTTGCTTTCTCAGATGTAATTTTCTGTCAATTTAACGCATTTGTACATTAGGGACATCTCCAATTCCTCTTATTATATATTTTATATATTTGCCATTAAAAAATGTATTTTAAAATATTCTAGATAAAAATGTCTAAAGTTATTCTACAATGATTATAATTTGTTGTATAAAGTATTCGTGAGACAAATTTTTGACCTGAACAACTAATTGAAAGATGGAGTTTAGGTCAAAGATAAATTTATATTTAATTTATTTCGTTTCTCTTTAATACTTTTTAGGTAAAAATACGTGGAAAATGATAACACACTTAATTAACTATACAATTCTTTTAATGGTGCCCGTGACTTATTATTATCTGTTGTATAATATCGACCCTTATTATTATGTCTTTCAAGCAAAATAAGTTCTACACATACCATGTTCTGTCATTTATTTTCTTAGTTAGATGTTAACTTACAAAACAACAATGCAATCAAATTTGTTCATGCAAATTAAACTAATCTTGACCTCAAATAGTAATGATGAAGAAACATAAAACCACAGCTTCCTTACCAAGGATTAACATTAGCATTTATTTTGCTTAGTAAGACATGAAATTAACACACCAAATAGAACCCATTACCCTCAACCAAGGGAGACATTAGCTTTTTGCACTTTCAAGAAGGCCTTAGACCCATTAAGAGTTGCATCAACTCTCCCATTTGAGAGTGGTAACTTCTTCTTCCAACAACTATCACCTAACCTGAAAATAGCCACAGAACAAAAGCAATCTTCCAGACAAGATTTCCTACATTGTTCTTCGGTAAAAGGCCTTTGAAGCACATAATCTGATAGAGGCCAATCAGTGTCAATCAAAATATCGAAGTCATAGAGATCGTTTCTTTTTTTACTTACTCCTTCTTCTACACATCCTTGTATGAAATCTGGCTTACAGCTACCATATGAATCATTAGGATCAACGAGTGAGTAACTTTTTGGACACTGACATGTTGGTCTCTTATCATCTCCCAAAGTGCAGAAGCTATTGTATCCACAAACACCACTACCAGAACTGACCGTATAAAGACATATATTATCAGGTTTGGACCACACTGTGGTCCAACCTTCACTCTTAGTTGAACTCTTTGGGTGCTTGTAAAGTGTGAACACTCCATCAAAATTAAGAGTTGCTCTAAGATAGAAATATGTGGCAGAGACTTTACTCTCTTGTCTTGACACATTGTATTTCTCATTGTTCTCTCCCAAGACATACAAGTGCCCTGATCTGTCAAAAACCAGTTGAGTTCCAGCACTTGATTTACTAGATCCATCAGTTTGACTTTCATAGTAGTTTTCATTAACATAACCCGATGGTAAATTAATAGAATGCATAACAAGATTACCATCACTTTGTAAAAGGAGCTCAAACCTTCCTTTACTGAAATCTGTCTCTTTAAGCCTTGAAGAAAGCTTTCTTCCTTTTTCAACAACCTGAGATGGCAACAAGGTGTCACTAGGAAACTTGAAAGTTTCCCAAAGACTATTGAAATTACCATCTTCAAGTACAAAGTTGCCGGTGTCATTGAACATGCCGCGAGATACTGCACTGTTGAGCCCCTCGGTATTCCATAATATGTCACCATTTGGAGAAGTGAGCAACAACCCATCTTTGGCAGTGAGTTGCACTTTTGACCCTTTTGGTGCAGGACTGTCTCCATTAGCATACCACACAATAGTTTTCTCATAAATTTTTGCATACCAAATGGAAAGCAAAAAAAGATTAGTGTCTTTGAGTGGAAGAAAACCAAAGACAAAGTCACCCGAAGGTGAAAGCAACCATGGGGAGGTGCTGGTTCCTGCAGTAAAAGAATCACCGATGGCTATGGTACTTTTGGTTTGAGCTACAACACGGATGGATTGCAGAATCAGTGAGTAGAGGAGAAAGGAAAGCAGAGAAAAATTCATGTTTAGATTATAGAATCAATTTGGAGACATGTTAAAAGCACTTAGTCAATGGATATTTTTTGGTACAAAAATTGAAGCCTTATTATAGTCAATAGATATTTTTTGTGTCCATTAAAATTGAAGCACTTATAGTCAAAGTGCTTGAATTTTGTGTCCTACAAAATTAAAGTACATAGTCACTAGTCTTTCTATCCACTTAATACTCTTTGTGCAGATTGGATCAACTCATACTAAATCAACACACAAGTTGGTTTAATTCTAGAGATAACAAATGTGTGGTAACACTTCTCTTTTTCTTTGAGAATAAAGAGCCATTACAATTTTGACAAAGGATTTGTGTTCTTCTAAATGAACCTTTCACAGGAAAAAAAATCTAAAACTGTGATTTTATTGTTTTTTTCTAAATAAAAATATGGACATCTAAGAATTAACACGAAATAAAGTAAGTATAAAGTGAACCTATAATAAAAAAGATGGTGAAAAATAGAGTTAAGTGGTAGGTTATGAAGAGAGAAGACCTGAAATTATGTGATAAAGTAGAGGAGTCAAACAGTTAGAAATAGAGAAAGATTTAAAAAAACTATAAGAAAAATTATTAAGAAAGCTCGCGAGATTAACGAATTGGATAGAAACATGATCCTAAATAGAACGTTATAACAGAATTTGGCCCATGTAGCCGACATAATATAGTGAATATGACTTGTTTGTTTGTTGTTGTTTCTAAACAAGAATATCATTAGAAAATAAAGAATGTTCCAAACAAGAATATTTATTCATATTTAGGAAAGTTAAATTCTCACTCTCTCAAAAGAATCTCTGCAAATTGATGTTAATCAATATGAGTATATTTGGAAAGACTAAAAACTGAATCATAGGAAATCCATGTAACCATGTCTACAAATTCCTCTCTTTTTGTAAAAATTTTAACTATCTTATAGTTTTACAGTATTCAAGTTGGATACAAAATTAAAATACTTATATATCTGGATAAAGGACAAACCAGAAACTTATCTGTCACAACTCATCCTGCCATCTTGCCGCAACTTCTGCTGCCTCCGGTTATCGTTGATCCAACGCCTACTGCTGGCCATCATTGACCCGAAACCATCCTAACCACTTTTGGTCATGTTCATTTTACTTATTTCAAGCCGAATTCGATGCACTACTCCGTCTGAACTTCTTACACCTATTTGCTTCTTTTTTTTGTTGATAATTTTGGAGCAATCTCTTTGAATTTGCATGATAAACTTCATTTGCGGAACTGCTTGCATGATAAACTCAATCACAATGTGATTGAAGCCTAAGACTGAAATTAGCATTTGTACGATATGAAATTTTCATTTTGAAATTAACTGTGTAAGGAGATTAATATTATCCATTGTCATTGTCATTATAAAAAGTTTTACGCTATCAATTCATCACCATTATCGGTTGGTATTATTTTATTAATGATTAAAATTAAAGTCAAATTTCTTTTAACATTCAACGGTTATAATTAACTGATAGTGTAAAATTCTTTTACACTTGTTGGATGTAAGTTTTCGACTGAGGAAAGGTGACACATAAATTGGCTTATGAATCGACAGGTTAGAAAAGGTGGTGAAGGAAACGATGTGAGTCGACGTCAGTAGAGGGAGTTTGTGAGTAGACTCAGGTATATTCTGTCAAAGGTGTCGACTGATGGGTAAGGAAGCCGACACAAAGTATTAGAACGTTTGAGCAGGAAGAAAATTTAAAAAGTTGAGAACGTGAGAAGTTAAAAAAGTGGTGGAAAGACACATGGCGCCACCAAGACCAACATAGCAGTTATTTTATTTTCTTATTTAAGGCAATGTCCATGTTCATTTTAGGGGCCACATTTTGTAACATTGTAAGGAAAAAATACTCTGAGTACTAAGCGTTACGAGAAACGAGCTTCATTCCTACAAAATGTATGATCGCGTCCACATTTATTTTTAAAAGCAATTTACATTACCAACTTTAAGATATTTTGTCTTTTTCTCGTTTATTTTATTTGTATTTCATTCAAGTATACACATTTTTACTCAAGATAGTTTCCAACTTATTCTAAACAACGTCATTCTACCACCGTCACATATATTCGACCAGTTTGTTCTGGGACTTGTTTGGTCGGTCCTGCAAGTAAACCTGTCTTATAAGGTTAGAGTTTGTTCACGCGAAAACTGCTTGCGAACAAATTGGAACATCCAGTGGGACCCGTTGATTTGGGTGTATGCATTTACGCAGTGGTAAGATGGTGATACCACGTCCAAGCGAAGAACCATCTTCGGAGGGGAATACGGTTGTGACGCAAACAACCGGCGTTGGTGCTGACACTGTGTCTGCAGTTTCGACTACACATATTGAGCCTGTCGTGACGCCACGTCAACTTGAACCTAGACCTATGATGACAGGAATTGAGGGGCAGTATATGCCTAGTTTCACAATGCCCACGCTCTGAGCCTTTGGGATGCCGACAGAGTTCATGTCGAGTCTGCATCATAGTGGCTCACTCTTTGGAGAAAGTTCTTCGTCAACTTTCTCACCGTATCAGGGGTTAAGGCCTTTGGCGAACCAAGTTACTAGGCCCCCAGGTTTTAGTTTTCCGTCACATTCGATTTTGACTTTCATCTTAAGTTCTGTCATCGTTATGAGACAGCAGATGGATGAAAGTAATTACGAAATAGTTCACATGTTGACCTGGAAAATGGGCACCATATTAAGATCATTAATACAAGATTCGACTCAGAGTTACCAACAATTGGCGACTCAGATGACACAAATAGGTATTTTTTTAGGGGCTTTTAGGGCCCCAAGTCGGCAGGCGCCGCCGCCTCGACCGGAGACGCTAATTCGAAAAGATAAAGTCTTCAACGAAACAATTAACCAGCAACCCCATGAGGTTGAACACACACCTAGAGTGGCCCAAAGGCCTCATGTCGTTTTAGTTCATAGGAACCAAGACCTAAACTATGTGGTCAGACAGGTTTGACACAAAGCCATGGTTGGCAAACCCAACTTATAGCTATGGTGGAACGAATTATAGTTCGCAATGGGGTACAGGCCTTTGACGGCCAACATATACGTCCCCACTATCAGACTTTGTTTTGCAAACAGGGTTGTCCAGGGGATGGAAGGTGTCGAAGTTTACCAAATTTTTCAGAGAGACCGAAGAGTCCACTGTCAAACATGTTGCCAGATATCAAATTGAAGTTGGTGACATAGTGAGCAATGAGGACTTGAAAAGGAATTATTTCCCAAGTTCTCTCACCAAGAATGCGTTTACTTGCTTTACCACATTACCCCCACAATCTGTTCATACCTAGGCACAACTAGAAAGATTGTTTCATGAACAGTTTTATATAGGACAATCAAAAATTAGTTTGAAAGAGTTAGGCAGTGTCAAACGGAAGACCACAGAGTCGGTGGACCAATATCTTAACAGGTTTAGACTTTTGAAAGCGCGATGCTTCAAGCAAGTCTCTGAACATGAGTTAGTCGAGATGGCGACCGACGATCTAGATTATTCAATCAGGAAAAAATTAGACACACAATATCTCAAAGATATGGCGTAGCTAACTGATTGGGTCTAACAGGTCGAACGTTTAAAAAATGAAAAAACTGAGGCTAATAGATACCCCAAGAAAGAGAAACTTTCATACGTGGTCGTTGACGAATACTCTTCTAACGATGAGGAGCTTGTCAACGAAAACGAGGTTAACGTGGCTGAACTAAAGTCAGGGCCTCCGTACATGTGTAAATTATTAAAACCATCAAATGGAAAAAATCTTGTCGAAACTGAAAAAATAGATAAATACGTCGCGAAAACGTATACTTTTGATGTATCTAAGTGCGATGAAATATTTGATTTATTAGTTAAAGATGGTCAGATTATTGTCCCTTCTGGGGCAAAAGACCCCCTTTTAGAACAAAAGAAGAAAAGGGGATTTTGTAAATTTAATAATTTCTTTGGTAATAAGACATCTCAATGTGTTATTTTCAGGGATTTTGTGTAGAAAGCTTTGAAGGAAGGTCTGCTTCAATTTGGCGAAAGACCAAAGATGCAGGTGGACACGGATCCTCTGAAGGTCGAAGAAGCCTTATATTATGAGTTGTATGACTGCATGATGATTGAGGCTACTGAGGGTCTCAACAAGCACTTAACAACCAAAGCTTTTGAATGTATGATGGTCGAAACTACTGATGGTCCTGAGAAGAAGTCTGAGGAGAAACTGAACACAGTTTACCCTCAAGCTGGCGAAAGTATGACGGATTTCCAAGAGAAAGGCAGGGTGGGCGGGTCGAAGGTTGTGTTATGCCCAAGATGCAACACCTTCTTTGATGAAAAAGATGCTGAGAAGTACGAAGTGGGTAGGAAAATGGCACTGCAAGACAGTAAGCCACTAGTCTCAAGGTTTGTGTTCGACCAGAATGATGCTCCTCGTCGAAATGAATAGTACAGGAGTTGTTCTAGAAGGCGCGACCCAAGACTTTTGTACCGTCATCAGACACTCCATAGGATAAGTGGGTGGCACTCGTGAGCCGGAAAGGGAGCAAGAGGCCGAAATAGAAAGTGTTGGATTTAGAAAAGGAGGCAAAGGTCTCTGAGAGGATTGAACCCAGGGGTTATGTGGTTTCTCCCAATTACAAAGGGAAGAATCCTATGACAAGGACCTAGTGAAGGTGTTATCAACGGAATAAAAAAGGTGCCAAAGAGGCTTTGACATCACAATTGAAGCCTGTCAGAACCTCTGGACTAAATAGGCAATATTCAAAGTCGAGGTGGATCGAGAAGGAGAAAACTATGACGAATCAGACTACTGTAGTGACTGCGGAAGCTTCAGGAGAGAAGGGGGTGGTGTCAACCCAGAGCTCGAAGTACATATCTGGAGGTGAAAACAAGAAAGAACCAAAATACACTTCTCAGTCAGACGAGGAAGAACCAGAGTACACTCCCCATTCAGATGAGGAATATACCCCATCACCAGAAGGCGATTTCG